CCCTCGAGGAAGTGCGCGAGGACTCGTATCGCAACACCTTCGGTCAAGGGTTGCGAGTTGAAGGTGATCTGGATACACTTCAAGAACGTCAGCAGCTGGATCGGGTCGGTACCGTCGAAGCCGCGCATCGTGGGACGGATCCCACAACACGTTGGACGTACTTGGCGATCCGTCCCGCGTCAGCCGAGGTAACGAGCCCCGAGGTGTTATCCAAGCGGTACATACTATAGTCAGCAACGGCGCTGAACTCTTGGATCATCGTATGTACCGGCTCGAGCCCGAGTTCGGCGGGACCCAGCGTGCCGAAGGAGGTAACCAGTAGCGTACGGACGTATACCGGACTTGGATGCTGGGCGTAATTCCCGGCGGGTAGCCGCCCCAGCGAGGATCGACGGAGAACATCGGTTCTCCGGATCCGCGGGCGGCTCCTCCACGGTTCTGTTCGTCCGCGTACGATACACGGTCCACTTACCGCCTACTTCCGGCAATAGGCGGCAAGGCTTGGGTCTCAGACGCGAAGTTCGCGTCTATCGGAGGACGGCTTCCTTCTGCAGTCCGAGTGATATCGGGGCCAGTCGGACGCCAACCTTCGGGGGCGGCTCCGCCCGGACGTACAGTACCACGGGGCCCTCTCGAGGAGGCACCCGGTAGCCTTTCGGCCATCGTACGTTCCATGTCGCGGGCCCGCAGACGAGTGGCATTGAGTTCGGCGGAGAGGTGCGCGAACGCACCCAATTGCTTCGCCGACGGGGAGGTTCGGTCCTCGGGTCTTCTCCCCGGGGTCGGCCTCTCGGGGCGTCCTTGCCCGGACGGTCCGGGCGAGGCAAAACGGGAGTCTTCGACAAGCACTAACCGCGAGTGAAGCTCGTCGATCAGTGCTCGGAGATTCTCTAAGGACTGCGTCACTCTATCGAACCTCCCTTCACGCAGGGAGCGGAGTTCGGCCATACATCGAGTGTATACATGGTCCGATACATCGGTACGGAGGGAAGTACGGACTTCCTCGATGTATTCGGCTATGCGGTCGAACATCGCCGCCGCTCTTTCCTCGGAGGATCCGAGCGACGGTTCGCCGTCACGAGGACTTGCGTCGCCGTCGCCCGACGGGGCGGATGGGGACTGCACAGCGGCCGGACTCGGATCCGCCGCTTCGGAGCGGATCGAGGGCTCGACCTCTTGGCTCATCTCGACGCGATCAGTCGCGGAGGGAAGCGGAAGTCTTCTGGGAGATCGAACTCCAGGGTCTTCTAGGTCGGGAGACCACTGTAGCATAAACACCGCCAGCGATAGGGGTGTATGCACAGTTCGACCGAGACCCTTGACGATCGGGAAGACGGGGGTGAAGCGGGAAACCAGCTAACGGCACCGGGCAGCGAGCTCGGGTAGCGTGGTAGAGCGGGACGGGGAGGACGCGGACACGCGCGAGCGGTTCGACGCCTCTACGCCCCGGCGCGGTACTGGGTAATGATCCAGTACCGACGGGCGGAGGCGGAGCCGGCTCGTGGGCGTGCCGCGCGCGTCCTCAACCCGAGCTCTGTGCGGCTCTAGGGTAATTAGCGAGCGTTACCTTAGAATAAGCGGGAACTCAGACCTTGACGGTTGGTGGGTGACAAGTCCGTGCTTGTCCCCCTCCACCGCCGTCGGTCTGCTTCATATTTAAATATACAAAACGATCTACATTAACACTACAGTACGGAGGTACTGTAGCGGGCTACTGTAGTGCAGATCGGACCGCACTGTACTACTGTCAGCCATCGGGGCTGACAGTACACGTGTGTGCGCGTGCTTCCTTCGCGCGCGGTACACATGTACACGTGTGCACGCGTGTGCCCTGTACCCGAGGGGTACACGTGGCCACGCGTGGTAGTACTGTAGAGCGTCGGGCTCTACAGTATTGGATCCCGATGTTGATCTTATCTAAATAAAAGCCCCAGGGGGGGTATACTACAAAGAGATGGCATCCGCGGAAAAGGCTGAGATAAGAAACTTGCTGAAGCGAGGAACCTTCAAGGTGATCCTTTGAGAAGACACCCTTGATGATGCCAACGTACTTCCAGGTCGTTGCGTTCTAACTATGAAGTCTACTGATGATGATCAAACGAAGTTTAAAGCCCGTTACGTCAGGGGTGGATATCGGGATAAGCTCAAACAATTCATGGTGCATTCCTCACAGACTCTCCAACCCGTATCCGTGCGACTTCTGATCGCCATGGCTTCGATTTATGGATTCAAAGTTTGGACGGCTGATGTCCATCAAGCCAACTCGCAAGCAGCTGAGCCATTGATGAGGGTGATATTCATCAGAAACCCAGTCCCCGAATCTGAGCTGGACGCGTCTCAATGTCTACAGCTTCTTGGACCCTTGTATGGATTGTGTGAGTCTGGGGATTTATGGCACGCGACTCTGGATGCCCATCACCGTAACGAACTTAGAATGGAACCTATCTGTATGGACCCCGCGCTGTACGTTTGGATTGTTGATGGTCTACTCAAAGGTCTACTTGGCAGTTATGTGGATGATCTCATGACAGCTGGGGATGCTAATTTCAAGTACACGCGAAGAAGACTGCCGAAACCTTTGAAATGGCCACTGATGAAGAACATCCGTGTGAATTCACAGGTTTTCGTCTTGATATGAGCAAGGACGAGACACTCACCCTTGACCAAAACAGCTACCTGAACATGATTGGGACAATGGGTTCTGATTCGGAATGGTTTGACTTTGCCTCCCGCCGTATGAAGATTTTCTGGATAATGCATACTAAACCTGACTGCGCTTTCGAAGTCTCGGAGATGGCCCATGTTACGAAAGATATGTTCGATAGAAACAATAAACCTTTCATTAAGAGGTGTAACAAGTTGGTAAGGCATGTTCATGAGAACAAGATCAAGATCGCAATTCCGAAGCTGGACAGGGGCTCACTCAGGGCTGTGGGATTTTCGGACGCATCTTTTGCCGGAAATATGGACTTTACTTCTCAACTCGGGTGCATATGTTTTCTTGCTGATGAGAGAGATGCTGCAGTGCCCATTATCAGTCCTACAAATCCCGTCGAGTAAAGAGATCCGTGATGGCTGCAGAAGTTATCAGTTTCAGCGATATGTTCGATGCCTGCTACAAACTCGCGCATGATCTGAAGCCCATGCTTCAAAATAGAGAAGTCCCTATTCAGTTGTACACTGATAGTAAGTCCCTTTTCGACGTGATATCAAAGGGGACTCCGACTTCGGAGAAGAGCCTCATGTTAGAAATTGATGCAGCTCGTAAAGGTTTTAAGAAGAAAGAGATAAGCGACATTGGTTTTGTGAGGAGTGATGATAACATTGCAGATGGTTTGACAAAGAAGATGAGCCAACGGACTTTAATGGAGGTGGTACTCAGTGGAAGACTTCTGATTAAGCCAGAAAAATGGATAATTCGGAACTAGTTCTGCTGAACTATTCCCTGTTCCTCTTCTTACCACTTCGTTTGTTGCTCTTTTTGGTTTGTAGGAGCAGCTCCCGAACCTCCGCCACGTGAAGGTTTTTGGTGTCATCCCCACCAAGTTGTTTCAATATCTCTTCGCATAGCATGAACGGATAACGAGCAGCGCTATCAAGAATCATTCCGCAGTTGGCATCTACGGCCACACAATGGTCGACGATCTCATGTGGCTTGAGACGGACGATCCAGATGCCCTTTTTCATGTTGGAAATCCAACCGAAGGGGTTAGCACCGAACAAATCCCTCTGCGCTTGCGAAATTCTTCGAACGGTGAGGCTGACTGGAAGCTTTGGTAGTACGACAATAGCTGCTTGGAATATGTGAACAATTTTGGATTCCTCTCGAAATATTTGGCCACGTTGAGAGCGTCTTTGGGGTTAATCAATGCGGCTACCCCTTTCGCAACCGACTCCGGGACACAACTACCTTCTTTACGGCAGACAGTGTTTGGACCGTATTCATGGATTTGGAATTGTCGCCTGTTTCTAATATGACCTCGTGCACCAAATGCGCCGATCACGACCGGGACACCTCGGCTATTTTTCATCCATTCGAATGAGTTGCTGAGAAGGCGGTTCTGCAGATCTATCTTCTGCTCATCCGTCATTGTCGATGACAACGCTATTTGCGAAAGCGCAGCCAAAGACGAGAGGGAAATGTTCAGTGACTGTTCGCTAATTGGCCAAAACGTTTCGTTGCCACCGTGCAGACCCGTCGCGCCGTAGAGCTTTCCCTCTTCGATCGTTTTCGTGCTGCTGTCGCTTGACCCATTGCCCACCACCACGCCGTCAACCACAAAGTTGCACCCCACCATCGAGTATAGTTACTAACAATCCACGTGCCTCTCCAGAGATGTACAAGGGCTTGTGTTCGCTGTTCCCAAAGTTAGGGGAACTCGTAAGACCGGGCTAGGAACAATGAGGGTGCACGGGAACGTTGCCGAGACAATTGAAGCACGGATATACTGTTTGAAAACGAGGCCGTGTTCAGGCGAACCGGGGGAGTCTCGTGCCAAGGGCACCTGCAAGGGCACTTGGTGCCAAGTGCACCAATAAAGTACCACCAGCCATGCCGCTCTGTCTGGAGGCTTGAAGGGCTTGAACGCCCATTAGGGCACAGTATTCGCCTTCCTCAGTTGCTGGAAGGCAACTGGGGCTAATATCACGTCTCTTGGCTACAGTACAGCACGCTAGTACACTTCTGGCACATCAATTACGACACCTGCAAGTTTTTGTCTAAACAACTCAAGCTGTACCCCTCTTCGCTTGTAACGGGCCTATGCCACTGTATTTTATATCTGTTACCGTGAATAAACCTGTGAACACCGCCAAGCTCTCAAAAAATCTCACCCCTGCATAAAATTCCGAAAACGGCTACTCTTGCCCGGCAGTTCAAATACGACATAGAATAGATTGTATAATAACTGTGCCATTTGGACGACTACAACGTATCCTCACAAGTTGGAACAGCTTCTACTCTCGGGTCTTGGGATGCACAGGCGCTCAAAAGGGCAAAAATGGGAAAAGGGAAGCAACTGAGCACAGAAGAGCAAGCTGTAATTGTGGCATTATCAAAAGAAGGCAAATCGATTTATGCCATTTCCAAGCAAACGAAAAGATCGAGAGATGTTATATCTAAACTTTTATCGTCCCCAGCGCAGTATGGGAAGAGATATGGTAACGCTGGTAATGCTAAAATCAGTGAGCACACTCGACGTCATATGTTAAGAGAAGCATCAGAGGGAGAGTCATCCGCTTCTGACATAAAAAGAGCGCTACAGCTCCCAATCAAGGCCCGAAGCGTACGTCAAATACGTGCCTCTTCCAGTAATTTAAAGTATATTAAGCAAGAATGCGTTCCGCCTCTGACTAAACACCCTTTAGAGGACAGACTAAGCTTTGCCCGAATTAGGTATGCCTGGAATCCAGGCCAGTGGGGCAAAGTTGTGTTCTCGGACGAAAAAAAGTTTAATCTCGACGGTCCCGATGGCTTTGCTTATCAGTGGCATGACATCCGTCAAGAAAAGCAGATATTTTAGAAGCGTCAAAAGGGCGGAGGTGGTGTGATGGTTTGGGGGCTTTCACAGAGCACTTTACTTCAAATTTAGCAATTTTACGCGGTAATCAGAACTCTATGGATAATATCAAGACTATGGAAGACTATCTTTTACCTTTTTCAAGCCGTGTGTTTACGTCAAGTTGGATTTATCAACAGGATAACGCTGCTATTCACAAGAGCAAGTTGACAATGGAATGGTTCAAGAAGGAAAAAATCGTGCTGCTGCCGTGGCCTGCAAGTGGCCCGGATCTGAACCCAATTGAGAACATATCTCTAGTATTTCTTTCTATTGTTCCATATATGGAACACAGCACTTCAACAGCCCGTACTACATCAGAAAAAATGTATTTTCGGATGCCCCTCTGCTTACCCCTTCTCCTCCTAACGTAGAACAAGATGTCAAAAGTTGAAGCTCGTTGCTCAAAGTAAACCGAACCATCTCGAGGATGAAAGTTAGGCGGAATCTGTGCGCGCTATAAGCGATTTCAGTCAATGGTTCCATATATGGATCCATGGAAAAGTACAGAAATTAAGTAATTACTGGGCCGGAATCTTGCGCACGTTATACATTGATCCCGATACCACTATGATTTTCTTTCAATTGCCTTGCAGCTTTATGGTTATTCTTGTTCAGCCGGTAGATGTTCGCATATGGTTGTGGAACTGTGGGAAACAGGTTTGGGAGTACTTCGAGGCTTCAGCACTGTACCTGAATGCCACAGCTCTGTGCAACGTTTTTGCAACCCAGGGTAGATGTGCACGCAAAGATGTACATCACATTGCACACATTTATAAGTGGTTCGGTGCCCTCGCCACACTTGTGAATCTCCAGAGGCGCGATGCATGCCACAGAGGGCACAGTACTGCTGTGTCACCTGTTGTTTCAGCGTATGATCTCGCACGGACAATCGCAATCTCTTCCCATTCTCACTATTAAAGAACAATATTCTCTTTTTCTTTCGTCTTTTCGCCAGTTCGGAAAGCCTTTGCCGTTCAGTCCCGCCAATAGCTTCCTCTTCTTCATCAGGTCCCTCGGGTGCAACATCTACAGATTCCGCATACACTAATAATTGTTTGCATAGATCGTAAATGAAATCAGCCATGGACTGCGTGGTGTTCAACGCATGCCTAAGAGCCCTCAAGCTCTGGAACGATTCGTTGTTTTCAAAAAGCTCTCGTCTCTTGTGCATTCTCCATGCAATAAATGAGTTAATCGCTACTGTCTTTAGGGTCTGCAACACAATATTTTGCTCCCATTTAAGTGCAGATGTAGAACACCTCAGTATAGCCCTGGCTTGTGCGCTTCCATCCACCCCTCCCTTGGTCTTTGAGTAAAGACTTTGGGAGCAGTGCTTGAACAGTTTTACGGGAGGAAAGGGGTCCCGTTCCTTCACGTATGCATTAACTAAATGCCAAAACGGTAATCGAAGACGTAAAGTATTACGAGTGGCACTGTCGGAGAATTCAGGTGGATGAGGATCTGGAAGATGGGCCCAGGCAACAAGTATGCCGGCTACACTGGCGAGCGCTTCATGGCAAGTATCCAAATATCTTGAGGGCAATAAACGACCGCAGTAAAAAGAACACCAGATTCTGTTGCTGCGACATAAACCACGTAGTTCACAGATAAAACAACCATTTGGTACAGTAGTTGGGCGGCATGCTCTTTAGGTATTAGAGACAGGAAAGACGGCTCACCCACTTTACATTTCATAACATCCACTGTGGCATTCTGCATGTTGCGATCAAGACTGCTCTCCGCGACATTAGTCTTAATTTCAACGGATGCAAGTGTACTGGACTCTGCACTGTCGGTTTCACGCTTAAACCCAATCGCTTCGAAATGTATCAGCGCAAGCCCGTCAGGAGAGCATGCTAGCCATTCTTCCCCTTTTTTAGAAAGCATACCGCAAAAAAATAGCGCAGTAACAAATGACATCTTCGACAATGCTGAAAACGCAGCAGACTCATTTGCGGTCCCTCTCATCATCTGTTCTGTGGAACGAGATGAGCTGAACCATGTTGTCACAAAAGTGCCAACATGTCTGCCAACAATAGCTCATTTTCGGGGATAAATGGGAAAATTCCGAGGCACTCGCGTACATTTCTATTGTTCATCAACAGCTTCCCAGAACTTGTCCCTGTTAAGAGAAATTGCCGTAGTATAAACCAGCTGCACAACGCTTGCCTACAGTTAATACTGTGCAATGGGCAAAGACGTACTTTTCCAATCGTTCTTTGTCGTGGACGGGGGTTTCCGATGGCCTCCAGAGGTGTCCGGAATCTGTGCGCTTATTGAACAGAACTGTTCCCAGGGTTTGATGCTTGAGTACAGCAACCCAGCTGTTAAAACAATCTTTCATAGCAGTAGGTACGTTGTATAAAAACCGTAATACTCTACTGTATGAGTCTCTACCCCTCTCTCTCACCGCGACAGCGGTTACAACAGACCGAATTACTGGAGATGAACTGTCGTCCTGGCAGACCCGAAGCTTCTTAGTTGCCATCCAGATCTCCTGCGATTGTGTCGGGGAATCGCCAATTATGAACGTCCGACGGCGGTCCGCCACTATAGGGTGCAGGTCAACTCCTCCCACACCCTCGTCATCGGCCTCAACTGCTCCGGCTGGTTGCTTCTCTTGGGAATCACCAGAAGAATCTGGAACTTCTGTGGCAGGTGGAGGGTCGTGTTCATTTCGCATCACATTTAGGAATGACCGCGCAACAAATGGGTGACAGCGTAATACGTGGTCGGGCATCACAAGAATGGCCCCTACACAATGCCTCACTAACTCCTCGATAAGCTCAAGCTTTCCATAGCCCCTGTCCACGGTGACGACTAAACCATGAACACTTTGTTCTCCTCTCCCTTCCAGTAACGCGTCCAGCAAGCTAGAAACATTGCTTGTTTCTGTCACACCCCGTCATCTAAAACGAACCATTAAAGTTATGCAGAACAAGGCATCCGCCATTGCGTCAGCTGTATGATCCTCACGGTCAGCCTTCCGACTGCTGATAGTTTTGACCTGGTTATCGGAGGCTCGTGTTCCATACAAATCGTCATCGAGTGTGGCCAAAGTATGCGTAGGTGACACAAACATCTTACATGTCGTCCGATAAGCTGCTCTTTCAAACTGAGTTAGCAACTGTGTTTGGTCTCTTTGCGGCCGCCAAATTATACCTCCATGGTTTCCGCGCCCTGTAGGAGAAAAGGCTAAAATGTTGTTACTGATGAACCTCATCCTCTCCACATCAACTTGCTGCGAACCATCCTGGGGCATGACGACAGCTGTCTTCTCGAAACTAAAGCCAGTGCAGTGTGAGAAGAGCAACACGGCCATGTACTTATACATTTCCGATACGGAGACTGGCCGCACTTCCCTCCGGGTAAGTAATATATGTTCGTTCAACCACGTTCGACATGTACGCAGTACTTCATCCGTGAACAGAAGGAAGAATCCAGTCCGTGAGTCGGGTAGGTCCCTAACCGTGCGCTCAACATCTATACGCTCCAAAGCAGACACACAAAATAGTCTTGCTCTTTCCCCGATTACTTTCTCAACAAATACATCTTCCATCATCACTGTGGCCGCATTCTCATTCGATATCCTCCACCCATGAGAAGGATCCTCCCTTCGCCCAGCTGTTGACGGCTGGATCCTTGTCGGCGTTGTTCTTGCGCCTCGGCCACGTCCTTTACCCCTACCCCGACCCCGTCCTCGGCCTGTACCGCGTGGCCGTCCGTGCGCCCTGCCCCGTCCTGTCGTGGGTGCTTGAATAGCCGTGGATGAAGTGGCTTCAGGTGTGTCTCTTGTCACAGTAGCCATTTTTCTGAGGCCGGGAGCATGCGACACGGGGTGTGTCGAGGGCAGACTGTGCCACACTGAGCAGTTGGCCGATTTTGGATATTGAACATTCCAGAGACTCCACGCGAGATACTGTACCTTACAAAGTCAGATCGAGATATTTATACTTACGGTACGGATTTACAGTACAAGAGGCACGAAATGGGAGGTGTTTCACGGGTCTATGGTTCCATGTATGGAACCATAGGGCCTTTTAGAGGTTTTTCTATTTTTGGCCAAATCACCTATAGATCCATATATGGACCCATAGGAATACTAGGGATATGGGGATTCTAGCGGGAAGAGTTTATGCGAATTCAAGGCAGTTTCGTACTGTAGAGGAGTTGACGCGATGCATAACGCATGAATGGTCCAAATTGGAACCTTCATTGCTGTACTAGCTTGGACACAGTATGCCAAAGCGTTGTGGGCAGGTCCTAGAGAGCGTGGGGGACGGAAAACGGACTACTGATTGGACCTCTTACGTAAAAACACAATTAAATCTTGTTCGCATGTCGTAATTGGTTTGCCGGCTCCATGTTAACCTTTTGTGATTATTTCAAAGAAAATCTTTGGCCACTCGAGTGAAGCGGCATCTGCTTACATGATTTGTGAAAGGGAAGAAGGTGACCAGATTGGCGTTTATTTTTAACTTCTTAGAGCATCCCCACCGGTAGAATCAAATACCCATACAACCAAAATTTGATGATTTGATGTCGATTGAAATCCCCTCCGGTGCAACCAAATTGTAGGAGAGACTCAAGACCTGGGGTCGACTTTACTGGGGGCATGAGCGACGACGGTGTTAAGTACGGTGGGAGTGCTATGTACACGTGTAAGATACTACAAGGAGTGGAGGATGATTGGTGGCGGCATCAAGTGGAGAAAATTAAGATACGACAGTCGCCGCGCTTGATGGTGGTGTTGCGGTCATTTGGAGCGTGGAGAGTTGATGGTTGAAGATCGCCGGTTTGAGGCGCTTCGTGAGACAGTCAGCAGGGTTGTCTTGGGAAGGTATCTTCACAGGGGTGATACGTTTGCGGCGAACTTGCTCGTTGACGTAGTGGTACTTGACGTCTATGTGCTTTGATTTGGGAGTCGGATGTGCGGATTTGGCAGTTGTGATAGTGCCTGC